CATTAAAATAATAAATCATAAAGTTATTATTAAACAAAATTCTCTAAACTCCAATGAATAATTTACCTTAGTTTTGAATTCAAATTCTAAACCAAATTTGAAATTCAAACAATGGAAAAGAAATGTAAAATGAAAAAGAAAAAAGGAAGAAGAAGAAGGCCTCATGCGGCTCGACTGCTGCTCGCATGCTGCCGCCAACCAACTACCTCAGGTGCAAGACGCTGACCAAAGAAGCCGGCCTAGTAGGCCGCTCACGCTCACAAGACTGCATTCACTCCCAAATTGAGCGGCTAACGGACCCCGCTTTGTCGGCATCATCAGCTTCTTCTCCACGCCCACGCCAATCCTCTCGCGATAGAGCCCCGACAAACAATGGCGGGGTGGGCTGTGGTTCATGCCCGGCATGGACTGTCTCCCCTTGGCGCCAGCGCCCACGCAACCCCTCGTGACCGTAGGATGCAAGCAAGCGCCACATTGCCCTTGATCCTCGTCCGCACGATCACCGAGCTCCATGGCCGAGCTTCGGCTATAAAGGCCATGGTCCTCGGAGCCCTAAAGCGCCGTCTCCGTTGCCGCCGCCACCTCGGTGGCCATCCACTACGCACCCAAACCTAGAGAGAAGAGGGAGAAGAGGAAGAAGGGGGGAAGAACGTTGAAGCCGCCGTAGGGGAGGAGATCGCCGGAGCCGGGAGCGACGCCGTCGGCTACGTCACCGACGCGGGTCGGCACGACACTGCACGCCTTCTGGAGCTACACGGCCTCGAATTGACACTGCACCACCATCCTATCTCCCACAACACCTACGGTGAGCTTTCCGATCCCTCTCTACCGTCGAACCTCACCGTCGGCCATGGCGCTCCACACCTGGAAGCGCGTAGGCCAGTGCCTTGCCTTAGCCACTTGGAACACATGCACCCACGCGCACACCGAGATCACCGTGACACCCCACCGGAGCCCATAGCGCACCAGTGTGTGCATCGCTGTCGACGCCGCCACCATGGCGCACCAGACCACCTGTCCGAGCACGCGACCACCGTGCCGAGCACCAGACCACCTGTTCGAGCACGCGACCACCGGTCCGAGCACTGCACCACCGTGCGAGCACTGCACCACCGTGTGCGAGCACCGCACCACCGGTTCAAGCACCCGACCACCGGTCAGAGCACCGACCACCATGGCTGATCTTCGCTGGGAGCGCCTGGCGCCTCCTTGACTCACCCATCCCATTCGCTGAAGCCGCGGGTAACTCACGCGCACGCCGTGACCACCCCGCTAGAGTCCCGTGGTTCACCCGCGTGCCTCGCCGTCGTCTTCACCGTCGTCGTGGCCGCCGGGATGTCCCCACCGCCACGGGAGAGAACCGAGCCTCGCTTTGAGTCTGGATGACCTCGCCGCCTCCCACGAATCCGTGAAGCGTGCGCCCACCGAGACGCTTTTACCATGACCGTAGACACCTCACCGATACCGCCCGCCGAGCTCGGAAGGGCGCCGCCATGGCCAAAGCCACCGGAGGCCCCGGAGGACCCTCGACCAGCCTAACATGCCCGTTGGGGCGTTGCTAGGTCGCCCATGCGCACTACGCAGCCGGCCTATGCCGCAGCCTCGCGCCATTCCCTTGCAACGCTGCTGGTGGAGCCCGAGCCGCCGCTGGCATGCCGTGGCAAAGACCTTGGGAGGCTCGCCGCCACTTTGACCCCAATCGACACGGCCACCGTGGCCGTGGAAGCTTTTCCCTCCTCAATCGGACACACCGCGCCATCATCACGGGGCTCGCTTGGTAGGAGCACCGCCATGTAAGAAAAGCAGGGAAACACCTCCCTCGTCGGCCACATGCCCATGCACCCGTGCACGTGGACCATAGAGAGAGAGAGAGGGATGGACTTGGTCCACCATGGACCCCGCCTTAGGTCCATGGACCGTGAACTTGCGTCCACCAGGACCACGCCTGTGGACCACAAACCCGAAGAGCCCACGACTACGACGTGGCGAGCCACAACACGCCACGTGTTCGGGTCGGCCCGACCTGCATCGCCCAATCCGAAGCCCAACCGCCCGCTTTGAGACCCGGCCAGATGATTGATTGTCGTCGACCGGTCAACGCGACCGCTGACTGGCCCCACATGTCGGCGACGACACGTTGTTGGACCCACCCACACGCCGATGATGACGCTTGGCGTCGTGATGACGTCCACGCCACGACCCACACGCCGCTGACCGACCGCTGACCAAGACGTTGACTGTTGACTCACCGTTGACTTTGACCGGACCCACCTGTCAGAGACTCAATAGCCTACGCAAATGAACCCATGTTTGAGTGCATTTGGCTCTTTTGAATTTCCATTGCTTCTTTCTGCTATTCCTTAGACGTCGCTAACGCGACTATAATGCGGTCGTTTGCAGACTCGGAGGAAAACCGGACGGACAAGGATCGTGAGTACCGTGAGGAGTACAGAGACGACTACACTGAAGGTGCCACATCCCACCCAATCTTGTAGCACCTATTACGCATGGCTAATATAGAAATGCTAGCGCTTACTTTATTGTCATGATCACATTATGGTAGGACTTGCATGGTAGTATGCTTTCTTGATGGCCTTTACCTTGACGCAACCTTACCCCTGCTCACCCTGCTGTTAGGCTAGTCACACGCTTGCTAATATATTCATTGCTTACTACTTCTACTACGCTTGCACTATATGGAGGCGTGGTGGAAACTGGTGTTATCTAGACCATGGGGAGAGTGCTGCGCGTGTGACTTGGGTGCGTGGAGGGTGAGGGTTGTGTCGACCAAGTTGGAGTATACGACGAGCCTGGGGCAAGTCTTGCCGTGGGGTGCTACCTGGGCACCCCTGGAATGGATACCTGTGGTGGGTAAATGGTATATGAGGTGGCCTTGGGTGTGATCCTGTGATGGGAGGAGCCCAGGGTGGAGGTGCTGTGGTGGCACGGTAAATGGAAACCCTGATGAAGACATTCTGGCTTGGTCATCCATAAGGACTTACTAGTACTCAGATTCATCGGGAAGCCTTACGTACCACTCGCCCTATATGGTGTGGGACGGCCGGACTACTTGGTAGGATATTGCCACTACTGCTAGGTTGTTAGCGGACAGTGTAAGGAGGTACGGGGTGTGGAGGATTTCACCCACACCCTTCTGAGACTTCATGGAGACCTTGTGGACCCGGCTTATGACTCACAGTTTCAGCCACCCCAGACTGGATTTGGGGTGTACCAGGGCTGAATGGTAGAGTGGCATTATCCTAGACTAGCAAGCGGCCGGAATCAGCCTAGTTGACGACGGTCAGCGAGGAAGGCGGATCTTGTGGTTATGTAAAACCTCTGCAGAGTGTATGGTTGATCGATCGATACATATGCCGACTTGTCGGCTATGGACCTTTCCTGGGTTTCGCTTAAACTAGATAGTGAGATGAGTCTTTCTATTCTCTCCCGGGAGTGAGTGTTCGGACGTAGCCAGGGGCTACGGGCCTTGAGACAGTGCCGAGAGGGAGTTGGCCTGTCGACTGAGCGATGGTACGGGTGTGGTATGGTGATGGTGTGGATATGGTGGTTTATCGATCCCAGAATCGAAACCTGGCTCTGGAATGGGAATGGGGTGGAATGTGTGTGAGTGGTGTTAAAACTTGACCAACTATTATTATATACTTGGTATGTTAATGCATAGGAAACCCCAACCTTTTAGGTTTCTCTTGATTATAACCAATTTGCATCCAATTTCCACAAAGCAATGTTCATAGGGTTGGGAGTGGCCAGTACAAATCGTACTGATAAATTTTGGCACACAGGTTCTGCTGAGGAGTATAGCTCCGAGGAGTTTGACGGTTGAGGGGTTCGTTCCTACGCTCGAGTTTGGCGATCTTATCTTCAAGCTGTTCTGAATGAATGCTACTTTTGATTCCGCCAATGCGGTGATGTAATAAATTATGTAATTCCGTACTATTTGTACTATGATATTATCGTTGTATGGATGTGATATTCGACTGGAATTTGGGTAATATGATCTACAACGGTCTTATTACTCTTTAACTCTGTGGATTTCCCTTCATGGAAATCGGGGTTGTTTCAGGCCACACCCAAAAAGCTGGCCGTTTTGATGCATGATACTTTTTGGTCAGTCTTCTATCTTATTACTAATGCTTGTAATAAAATGGTCTGATTTACTGAGAAATAATCGGCAGTAGCTGTAATGGTTTTGGCATTGTTTTGCACTTTTATCTGTAATCGTACGGCTCTGGTTGTGAATGAATTGAGCAGTTTCGTCCACCCATGTTCGGCGGCGGTGCGCGACAGTGTCTTGCGCCGTCGATAGGTATACCGTATACCTGACATTCTCTCACCATCGACGCAGCATTGTCATCTGTCACAACCAAACGGCTAAACATGGCTAGCCCCCTTGTTCTCCAACCGGCTCCCAGGTGGCCAGGTTGAGGTCATCGAACCGACTTACTGACCCTACCCTATCGCCACCGTCTCCTCCAGACGCCAGGGCGCCAGGCATGTCATGGCCACGAGCCCAGTGAGGCCTGGCGGATTTTTGTGCCGAAGCAGTCAAGCAGATACCAGCTGCCATCCTGCTGGACGGGCAGAGGCAAATCCACGGGCAAGCGAATTGGGATACTCCATAGCAAACACTGCCCACCCGTAACAAATTTTCCAGTACAATCTGCACTTGACAACTGGGCGTCACATTGAGCTGCATGCTGGCACTCAACAGTGCAAAGTTACAACACAAAACCAAGCATTTCAGTAACCATTACTGCCTTCGACAAGTGCGAGACATCTTCCCCAAAATGCTTTCACTCGTATTTATAGATATATACAATCCAGACAAAAGATCTGTTGCGTAGTTCTAAACTTTTTCAGACATAAGGTTGCTGTATTCAGATCAGCTCGTGGCGCTTGTACAAGTGGAAGAGATACAGGCAGAGGAAGATGCCAAAACACGGTTTAGCTACAATTTGCTGGCGACGCCCAACTCAAGCTCATTCAGCAGAGCCACGGCTCCCAGAGACATCGCACTCGTCAAGTAGCGCTAGGATGTTGTGCTCAGGCGCACTTACGGAGGGCAATATGGCACGCCTTGGAACTGCAGATCGTGACCTAGCACTGCTACTGTCAGACTCAAGCTGCGACCCTTCCTTCACGACCGGCAAATCTGTTCTCACCCTCGTGCCGACTGAAGACATTTTCTCCTTCCATATCCTCCCATCCTAGCATCCATCAGACCATCGGTCAATAAAACCAATAAGGGAACAGGTAAAGTCTGAAACATCCGATGTTTTGCTATTAAGGAAATATTGAACTTGAAGCATACAAGACCAGACTGTTAATCAGAAAGGTAAGATGAGATCGAGTAGTTTGTTGTTAGCACAACACTAAATTCTGCAACTCAAGGCAGTTCACTAATATGATTAACACTTCAGTCTGCAACATCTTCTCCTTCATATCCTCCTATAGTCCTATCCTAGCATCCATCGATCAAGTTAGACCAATTAGGCAACAAGAAGTTTGCACCGTATGATGCTTATGCAGTTTTGCTACAAGGGAAATGATACTTCAAGTATTGAGGAAAAACGAGGAGCGAATTGTTATTGTAACTAATCTGTAACGCAAGAAAGTTTCCTAAAATGGTCTAACATTACATTCCGCAACACAAGAAAGTTTCCTAATAACGTTCATCGCTGAATGCTGCAAGACAAGAAAATTACTCTCACCTTATCAACAACGTGATTTTCTAGAGCGATTTTTCAATAAGCACCAAGAGGATGGCTTACATGCAGTATAGATGGCTCAGGAAGTGGGCATTTTACTGGCTCATCAAGATTGAGAGGTTCCACAGGGTGCTCCACCGGCTTGAACTCAACGCCAACCTCAATACCGTGAGGGCTCTCTGCAGGAACAGCTGCTGGATCAGACTCTCCTGTACTCATGTTGGGGCCAACGTCTCGACAACCTCCTGCAGGATGAAAGCAGAATTCCCACAAATTAGACGAGCAGAAAGGTCCAATTGCACAAATTCACTAGGGTTACTTCTGATGCTTGGCTTTAGCCAATCAATAATTCCACTCCGCCTGGCTACATAGTAATTGTAAAATTTCTCATGAACAGATTTATAGTGAGAACAAAAGCACTCAACTTTCCCCAATTTTTGAGCTGCAAGGCCATTCAAATTCAATGAAATAAAGGTAACATAAATAAAATCTAACAAAAACGGCAAGCTAAAACCATCCCGATCAAAGAATCGGAAGAGGAACTAAAAAGGTGAGATACCGAGTCCTGGAGACAGCAGAATCCACCCATGAACAAATAGGGGTCAAATGAAACCAGCCCAAATCTGACTCTTGCACGGCTTCAAGAAGCTAAGCTAACCTACTGTTGACCTGATATGGTTATAAACAAGCAGATCCCTTCTTGGAGTTGGGGAAGTAAACTACAGCAGAAACAACATGGAAGTACAAAGTGGGGCATGATAGGGAAAGGAGAAAGAGGGAGAGGAGAGAACTCACGGCCACGCTCTTGGAGCGGCGGTGGGCGCCGGCGGAGAACCTGGAGAAGATCCCGACCATCGTCTCCTCGGCCCCCGCTCTGTCTCGAAGCTTTCTTTCTCGGAGTTGAACCTTGAACGAAGCAGTCCGCTTTTCTTGTCCGCAGGGAGCACTGATCGATGCACTAGCACTGATTGACCTGTCCGAGTGGTTTTATTTAATCGATCTCTCTTTTGTTTTCTGCTTTTTTAGTGAGCTGATTACAGTATTAATTAGTACTAACTGTAACATTAGAATAAAGTGGGTGACAGATAACATGGGCATCTTTTAAAAGGGACGTGGTCTGTTACTTTCGAGATGTTCCTACAACGTCTCTCCTCAGCCTAAAACAAGTGTCGTTCTCGCTTATCAAGGAATCAAACACTTTTAATTCTAACTAAATATTTAAAAAATGTTAATATCTATAGTACTCGATCCATTTAAAATTATATGACGTTTTGATTTTTTTAAACTAAAATATCTTATTATTTAGAACAGAAGAAGTATATAATTAGTATTACTAGATAAATGTTGAATATATTTTTATAATAAATTTATTTAGAAATATAAATATTGTTAATATTTTCTATAAATATAGTCAAATTTAAGAAAATTTGATCCGCGCGAATATTATAGTGACACTTATTTTAGAACAATGGGAGTATAAATTAAAAGAATAACATTCAACTCTAAAAGCAACTCCAAAAAACTAAATAAATTTAGATTCTAATTTTACCAACGCTTTGGTAACTATAAAGCTTGCTACCATGATGACAGTGCAGACACTCCTGAAACATGTTTCGTAGCAATATGATTATCCAAGTCCTCGGCGTGGTTAACGTTTATAACCTCCGTAAAGGTTGGATCCTGCATAAATGTACTAAGAACAGTATTCACTATGTCTTTATTGATCAAAAAAATTCACCTCTTGTAACCATCGAAGACAGCCAGCAGCCGACCAAGCAGCGTCAGCAGCGACCACGACAGCCAGTGCGTGCTGCCAGCAGCGGCCGCGGCACAGCGGCCGAACCAGCAACTTTGCTTAAGGGGCCGCGTACGTGTGAAAATTATATACATGAGTATACGTCTCAATAACTTTTTTATGCTTCTACGTATGTACTTAGTTTTCATAAAAAATAATATTTTGATAAAATATAAGTTAAAATAGGCAAAATGTGCTTTGTATTGTAATATTTATAAAAGCATGAACAAATTTTTCATTGTTTAGTGGGAGTGTGGGGGGTATAACCCCGATACCCACGGAATGTATATGGACCGAGCCGCCATGGGAGGCCCAGCCCATAGAACTATGCCGCGCGGAGCATGACACAGGTCGGCATGCCTCATAAGACTGTGAGAAGATCCTTGGCGATCAAGAACAATCTTTTTGATATACTAGATTCCGCAATCTCTGTAATTCCTATTTTATAAATCGACCAGGATATAAACAACCGACCTGTAACTCTACCCCGACTATATAAGACGGGTAGGGACCCTCCTCATTTTTATCTCATCTCTCATAATACAATCCACAATGACACAGGATGTCGGGTATTAAGTCAAGATGACGGTCTAAACCTGCCTAATCGTTGTCTCGTGCGTTTTGTGTCACCATCCGGTTCCCTCACGCGCACCTCCACCGACTCATCTACTATCTTAGGTACACCCCTCCGTAGACTGCCGGACGTATTTCGTCGACAGTGGCGCGCCAGGTAGAGGGTGTGTGTGCTAAATCCATGGCGAGCCAGATGGTCCGCTTTTCAAGCTCCATGGTCTTTCCCGTGCCACGCCAGATCTTTACGGTCGGATCCATGACCTGGGTCATCGGCCTCGACGGCAACGGGGAGGTCATAGAGGCGGTGCAGGATCACCCTACGCCGACTACGTCGACCGCGCCAACACCTACAACGACATCTCCAATCCCGACGCCCCGCCGCTGGGTTAGGAGATCCATCAGCAATGATGATCTGATCGCATCCATCGATCAGGTCACCGACCGCTTAGCGGAATGCCAACTCCTCGTGGATTCGGTCTTAGATCAATCTAGACCGAGCGACGAATTTCCTGCACTCCAAGATCACCAAGCCATTACAACCGAGCGACCTGCGTGGCCACATTGTTCGAGGCGGCTAGATTCCGATCTGGCGATCACGGCCACCCCAGAGGGGCGCACGGTGCGGCGCCGACCACTTCCTGCTATAGGCCTACGCTTGGCCGATTACGAGGCCCCGAAGGAGAACCCACCGAAGCCCTATCCCTTCGGGCTGGAGAGTGTGGGATCCACGTACCAGAACACCATCCACCATCTCTTCTCGACCACGCCGAGCACGACCACGTCAATGACCTCTATAGGACTGATCTGCCTGAGGTAGGTCAGCCCGCGCCCATGGTGAATATGGTGGCTATTCGCCAGCTTCCGAATGACTCCCTCCACGACGCCTGGAGGAGAGCCCCAGTGATTACTCCGAGGGCTCAACCAAGACTGCATCAAGTTGCCTTACTTTCTCTCTAGGGTTTGGGGGCATGATTTTCCATGTTAGCCATGACAGCGCCACCAGGGACGACAAAACCTTTGACGAGCGCAACGCTCGCCTGGCGAAAAACGCCGATCGCCAACATCGCCGAGATGCAGAGGCGGCCCATGGGGGTGACATGGATGGACATGGCCCACCGCGCCGAGGGCATAATCTGGAGGAGGAGTTCGACATGGTGGGTGACCAACCAGTCCACCAGACCCGAAGCGCCAATCTCACTGTTGCTTTCAACGAGCTCAAGAAACTTCCTCAAACTCCAGAGGTCGAGAAGATCCGAGCGCATATCATAGTAGCTCAAGTTCAGGTCAACGAGTTTCGGAACCCCGATCCATCTTATTCATCTGCGTTGGCTCGTAGCCGCCACTCCCGTCGTGATGGAAGAAGTCAACATCAAGGCACCGAGCACCCCCATCATCAAGGTGGTGGCCCCTATCTCTATAAAGGATCTAGGGGCAACTACGAAGGACATTCACGCCAAGACAGTCGCCCTCCGCGCCCCTAGGGAGGCCGGGGCGGCAACCGTAATGCCAATCAGGAGGTCAATCAACCCCCGCGCGACAATCGCGAGCTCATCAACGCCAATCTTGATGTACAAGGTCACATCGAGAATAGCAGGTCCACGCGGTATGAGACAGAGATGGAACACCGGTGGTAGTTCAATGAAGAGCACGGAGCACCTGCTGCACCCTGAGCACCACTCGGTGCCCCCGTCTATGGCTCCGAACTCCAACCCTTCGTAGCAAGGCTTCGAGCCATCCGATGGCCTACGGGCTTCAAGATCATCGGGGTGAACACCTATGACGGTAAGGCAAACCCCGCCCAGTGGCTAACTCTCTATGAGATCGCTGTGAGAGCTATGGGCGGAAGTGAAGACTTCATGGTAAACTACTTGCCTGTCATGCTCAATCAGTCTGCGAATAACTAGGTTCTCAGCCTACGGGAGAACCCCATCCGATCTTGGGACGACCTCAAAAAGGTCTTCACCGAGAACTACATGGCTACATGCGAGCAGCCCAGCACCAAGTATGACTTGGAGAAGCTTCACCAAACCTCCTGGGAGTCCCTACATGACTTCATTAGGCGCTTCTCGGAGATGAGGAACTCCGTGCCCAACATCAGCGACACCGAGGCCGTCGCTACATTCACCAAAGGGCTATAGCACGAATAGCTCCGTGGAAAGCTGTACCGCAAGAGGCCCACGACCATCGGTGAACTGATACAAATTGCAAACGGCTACACCGATGCCGAGGAAGCCAAATGGGCTACCCGTCCTGATCGCTACTCATGCCGCGATGACGATCACTGTGAGGAGAGGTGCTACGATGATCGCGACTGTCACAGCGATGATCGCGATCGCCGCCATGATGATCGTGAACGCCGCCAAGACAACCACGAGCACCGACGTGATGACCGCTTGGAGGGCTCGAGAGGCAGACGAGGCCGCCACCGCCGGCCTGACAACTGTGTTTACACCAGAATTTGGAAGAAGAGTCGCAGGGATTCGAAAGCTCCCAAGATCATGTCATCAAGGAATCAATTGTGTGCAGATCGGAACCAGCTGATTCGGATGCAAAAACTAGAATCGGCTTTCTTCAGATAGCGCCAGCGGATAACGACAAAGGCTACGTTCGGCGCCAGGACAAAACATGTTGGACTCTACAAAAAGGGAAAGATTAGAGTCTAAGTTATCATAAATTAGGAATGTTTTCTTTAGGGTCAAAAATTGTGATGAGTCGTGCTTAGACAGGAGTCATGCGCAGGTCCCGAAAATAAATATCAAGCCCCGGCTATTGTAAAGAGGACAACAATCAATCCAATATACAAGTCATTTACTTTTTTAGCTTCGGCCACCCTTAGGAGTAGGAGTAGAGTAGACCTCGGCGAGTTCTTCAGCAAGTATGGCTACATCGATCCAGTCGACATCCACTGCTTGTTGTAAGTACCGTCACGACTTATACCTCTGTTCGTACGACTGCATTGATCCGGTCGACCTTCACTGTGACTCTGGTATAAGTTAGTTATCGACTCTTGCCTAGTTCAAGTATGGCTGCATCGATCCGGTCGACCCCCACTATATGAACTAGATCAAGGTCAAGTTATCGGCTCTACCTTAGGATGACAGTCTTTGGTAGATTCATTAAGTTACCGATATTGCTTATTGCTTTTATTATTTATCCAATTACAGCAATATCACACTGTTCGATTAGGATTGATCTAGATCGGTCTTATATCTTGTTTAGCCCATCGTTTGCTAATCTAAATTGATCTAATCTACACCTTAAACGATGAGTTATATTTTATCGGCTGTTTTATGTCAATCCTGATCGTGCATAGCGTGCGGTTAAGGCATTTTGTGTCTTGAGTAGATTTATTGGCTAGCGAGAACCGTTTCATGGCCCGTTATCACGGCCTGTGTGATTCTGCCTCACACCCCACTGTTAGCACCGTGGAGTGGGGATCGTTATTTGATAGATCTATTCCTGATAAGGCATGACTTTAGCTGTGCGC